AAATGTGTGTGTCTGTCTGTCTAGCTCCTGTCTATTTGTCTGTCTGTGTCTAGCTCCCTGTCTATCCTTCTAGCTCTCTGTCTCAGAGAGAGCCAAAAGACAGCATCATCACATTTACTCACATCTTCAAGCAGAGTATAGCACTTTGTCTGGATTTTTTGGGTTATTCTAGGTAATTTATACTATGTATACTTGTATTTGTGTACCTGTGAGAAAGATAGACAGAGACAGATTATAAGAGATAGACAGAGACATATAGACAAAGGCAGAAACAGACAGACACAGATAGACAGAGACAGACAGACACAGATAGACAGAGACAGACATAGATAGACTGACAGAGACAGATAGAAAGAGATAGACAGACCCTAAACTTGGGGTTAACATCACTTTCCTCTTAAAAGAGGAGTGTTAATATGATATTACATCAATGAATCCTTGGAGTTTGCTGCACTGTTTGCTCTAGCTGGGGCTCAATTTAACTGGTGCTCCCACAAGGTACTAAGTGGTCCCAATTTTTTTTTAATACTGCGCACATCGAGTGTTAAGACCCATTCTATGCTGACCAGGCATCACAGGCCAATCGTGCCAAATTTGGAGGCAGGAAAATTAAAACGTATATATACGTTTGGGGCGCTACGCATAAGAACGTATATGTATGTTTGGACTGTTTGGGCCGTTTAGGGGTTAAAGAAGTAATAAGAAAGAAATGAGAAACAAAAAGTGTGTGTTATGAGAAAGATAAAAACTTTACCTGCACAGAACAGACAGCTACAGTATACTGTAGCATAAAAATAAATGCAAAAATGTTTCTACCATGCATAAGCCCCATTACATGACACAATGATGTACCTTATAAAAGGCAAAAGGTGTCTGCCATATGCATTACTTTCCAGCTATTAGTCAACAATATTTTACTACTATAAAAAGTTTAGTCATAAGCATGATTAGTGTGGTATGTTCAATAGGTAACAGTAAACTTCAATAGTAACTGTATGCAAAATAACCATGACACAAGTGTAAACAACTCACTGAATTTAGGGTCTGAACCCATGGCAAGCCAGTATTAAAACTGATCTTCTAGTTTTAGAACTGACTTTCATGGATTTGTACCTTCATCTGTAATCGAACTACAATAATAATTAACTTTATATCCAAACTGTGAATGAGGTAGAGTTATCAAAATTTATTCTACTCCAATCTTATTAAAGAGGGTAACCTTACATATTTCATATTACTGTACAGTACTTTGCTTGATTATTTTTTATTAATGAATAATGAACTTGAAAACATGAATAAAAAAAAGAAACAGCAACAGTAAATTATTACTACTACATTTTTAACCATGTTAGTAACAATATCTGACAACTGTGTAACAAACGGACATTGACTGTTATTTCCGAATCAACTGACTCGGCAGATTCAGTTCTGTATTTCTGAGGTCTTATATGGAGGTGCATTAAATGGAGGGTTTACTATACACAACACTAGGAAAATCCTCACCTTAGCTGATCTCTTTCCATTTCCCATTTTTTTATCATTTTACGGGACTCTTCATCCTCAAAGTCTTGGCAGCTCTCTATCAGTGACTGCAAGATCATCAGCCAGCCACTTGTTTTCTTGTATTCTTCAGAGTTAAGGCACTGTATCTCATACTGAAAAACAAATATACTCACATTTTAAGGATACAGTACAATAGTTTTTTTTTTTTCAACAAGTTGGCCATCTCCCACCTAGGCAGGGTGACCCAAAAAGAAAGAAAATACTTTCATCATCATTCAGCACTTTCACTATACTCACTCACTGTTTTTGCAGAGGTGCCCAGATACAACAGTTTAGAAGCATATATAAAGATACAATATAAAAAGTGACCTGAAATAATATAATAAACTCCCATCAGAATATAATATCAGGGCCCCAATTATATATATACTGTCCTATTACACATCCCTCCAAACTGCCAATATTGCAAACTCCTCCTTTAAAGTGCAGGCATTGTACTTCCCATTTCCAGAACTCAAGTCCGGCTATATAAAAATAACCAGTTTCCCTGAATCCCTTCACTAAATATTACCCTGCTCACACTCCAACAGCTCGTCAGGTCCCAAAAACCATTCGTCTCCATTCACTCCTATCTAACATGCTCATGCACACTTGCTGGAAGTCCAAGCCCCTCGCCCACAAAACCTCCTTTACCCCCCTCCCTCCAACCTTTTCAAGGACGATCCCTACTCCGACTTCCTTACCCTACAGATTTATATGCTCTCCATGTCATTCTTCTTGATCCATTCTCTCTAAATGACCAAACCACCTCATCAACTCCTCTTCAGCCCTCTGAATAATACTTTTATTAGCTCCACACCATCTCCTAATTTCCACATTTCAAATTCTCTGAATTATATTTACACCACACATTGCCCTTAGACAGAACATCTCCACTGCTTCCAACCACCTCCTCGCTGCAGCATTTACAACTCAAGCTTCACACCTATATAAGAGTGTTGGTACCACTATATTTTCATAAATTCCCTTCTTTGCCTCCACTGATGATGTTTTTTGTCTCCACATATACCTCAACACACCACTCACCTTTTTTTCCCCATCAATTCTATGGTTAAGCTTATCCTTCATTAACCCTTTCAGGGTTGGTGCCGTACTAGTACGGCTTGCATGCCAGGGTTGGTGCCGTACTAGCACGCATAAATTCTAGCTCCTTCAAATCTGGCGAGAGAAAGCTGGTAGGCCTACATATGAAAGAGTGGGCCTATGTGGTCAGTGTGAACAGTATAAAAAAAATCCTGCAGCACCAGTGCATAATGAGAAAAAAAAAACTCCGACGGTGTTTTTGGTTTAAAACAGCGACTCTGCAGTGTATTTTCGTATGCTATTTATGGTTTTATTCTAGTTTTCCTGGTCTCACTTTATAGAATGGAAGACATATTACGGAAATTGAGATGATTTTGATTGGTTTCACAATGAGAAGTACCTTGAAATTGAGCTCAAAGTAGCAGAAATGTTCGATTTTTGCCAACATTCAAAAGTAAACAAAACATGCCATGCGTCCAATAAACGTCAACTGGTGAGTAATATTCTTTCACAAGTGTGCTGATATTATTTATACCATTTCTACACTAATGCATTAGTCTGCATAACAGTAAATCTTCTATTTTTTGCGCGAATAAAAATTCAAAGTGGAAAACAAAAGAAATGTAACAGAGGCCTGGGGATGTTACTAATGAACAGAGGAAATGTTATTTTAGTGCCAGGAATGTCTGTCTTGTTTATTCTGGACCCTATTTGGAAATTGGCAATGACACCAAAAGAACGAAATTTGATGGAAAACATACGGAATTACGCTCTCGCGAAGTTAGCGGCCTCAGCGATATTTACGAATCGGCGATTTCGCCCACTTTGAGCCCTATTTTTGGCTAATTCCATTGTTCCAGTCAACCAAACTCATAGCTATTTCTTTAGAACTCCATTTGTTGTATCAATTGAGTACAAGAAACTGCCCATTTATCAATTTCAAATACCCAATAATGTGGTCAGAAATTAGCAATTTGACCAATTTCACCCAAATTAAAAAATATGCCAATTTCAAAACAGGGTCCAGAATGAACAATGCAGACATTCCTGGCTCTAAAATAACATTTTCTTTGTTCATCAGTCATGTCTCCAGGCCCCTCTGATATTACTTGCTTTCTATTTTGAATTTTTATTCAAACAAAAAATTGAAGATTTACTGTCATGCAGACTACTGCAATATTGTAATAATTGTATAAATAATGTCAAGCCATTCATGACTGCATATTAAAATGGCTAGTCAGACATTTATTGGACAATGATATCATTTGTTTACTCTTGAACATCGGCAAAAATCAAACATTTCCCCTACTTTGAGCTCCATTTCAAGGTCCTTTTCATAGTAAAACCAATAAAAATCACCTCTATTTCTATATATATGTTTCCCATTCTATCAAATGCAACTACGAAAACGAGAATATAACCATAAAAACTATACAAAAATACACCTCAAAGTTGGCGTATTATTGCAAAAACACAAGTCAGAGTTTTTTTTCTCATTATGTACTGCTTGCTGCAGGATTTTTTTTATACTGCACACACAGACCCATTCTCTCATATGTGGGCCTACCAGCTTTCTCCCGCTTGATTTGAAGCCGCTAGGATTTTTGAGTATATATACGTCAAACACATTGGCTCGTAAGACATATATACACGACCAAAACAGTCAAAGGGTTAAATACAATAACAGGGTATATAATTAAGGATATTCTAATAGAAAATATAAATGTATCTGAAAAACAGCAAAATATTTAAATTTATAATAACATTTTGCTGTTTCTCAGCTTATTAAGGAAACATTTCAGTCCTAGAACCTTGTTCACTTCATGGATTATAAGATGCTTAGGTTTATATAGACAAGATATGTATGAGGATCAGTTATGATGAACTGTAGTGAGGTCACCTGGTGGTTGTATTCATGCCAAGGTGGGTGGAGGTAAGCTTATATAAGCATGTGGGCCAACATGGTAGGTATGTTACAACTTTTTGTTCTTTGTATTAATGTATTTGTTACTGCTACCATTGTCTCCTTCAATCTTTCTCCTGATGACAAACAGGGCTACGTTTGACTTCATCAAATGTACCCTTGGAATCTCTAAACATCACACATTCATTACTTTGATCATTCCTGCTACGTGCATAGTTATGTTCGTTGATTTTAACAGACTTCTACTGATTTTTTTTTTTTTTCAACAAGTCGACCGTCTCCCACCGAGGCAGGGTGACCCAAAAAAGAAAGAAAATCCCCAAAAAGAAAATACTTTCATTATCATTCAACACTTTCACCACACTCACACATTATCACTGTTTTTGCAGAGGTGCTCAGAATACAACAGTTTAGAAGCATATACGTATAAAGATACACAACATATCCCTCCAAACTGCCAATATCCCAAACCTCTCCTTTAAAGCACAGGCATTGTACTTCCCATTTCCAGGACTCAAGTCTGACTATATGAAAATAACCGGTTTCCCTGAATCCCTTCACTAAATATTACCCTGCTCACACTCCAACAGATCGTCAGGTCCCAAGTATCATTCGTCTCCATTCACTCCAATCTAACACGCTCATGCACGCTTGCTGGAAGTCCAAGCCCCTAGCCCACAAAACCTCCTTTACCCCCTCTTTCCAACCCTTTCGAGGACGACCCCTACCCCTCCTTCCTTCCCCTATAGATTTATATGCTTTCCATGTCATTCTACTTTGATCCATTCTCTCTAAATGACCAAACCACCTCAACAACTCCTCTTCTGCCCTCTGACTAATGCTTTTATTAACTCCACACCTTCTCCTAATTTCCACACTCTGAATTTTCTACATAATATTTACACCACACATTGCCCTTAGACAGGACATCTCCACTGCCTCCAACAGTCTCCTCGCTGTTGCATTTACCACCCAAGCTTCACATCCATATAAGTGTTGGTACTACTATACTTTCATACATTCCCTTCTTTGCCTCCATAGATAACATTTTTTGACTCCACATATACCTCAATGCACCACTCACCTTTTTTCCCTCATCAATTCTATGATTAACCTCATCCTTCATAAATCCATCCGCCGACACGTCAACTCCCAAGTATCTGAAAACATTCACTTCTTCCATACTCCTCCCCAATTTGATATCCAATTTTTCTTTATCTAAATCATTTGATACCCTCATCACCTTACTCTTTTCTATGTTCACTTTCAACTTTCTACCTTTACACACATTCTCAAACTCATCCACTAACCTTAAGCACAGTATCATCAGCAAAAAGTAACTGTGTCAATTCCCATTTTGAATTTGATTCCCCATAATTTAACTCCAACCCTCTCCCGAACACCCTAGCATTTACTTCTTTTACAACCCCATCTATAAATATATTAAACAACCATGGTGACATTACACATCCCTGTCTAAGACCTACTTTTACTGGGAAGTATTTTCCCTCTCTTCTACACACCCTAACCTGAGCCTCACTATCCTCATAAAAACTCTTAACAGCATTTAGTAACTTACCACCTATTCCATATACTTGCAACATCTGCCACATTGCTCCTCTATCCACTCTATCATATGCCTTTTCTAAATCCATAAATGCAATAAAAACTTCCCTACCTTTATCTAAATACTGTTCCCATATATGCTTCAATGTAAACACTTGATCTACACATCCCCTACCCACTCTGAAGCCTCCCTGCTCATCCGCAATTCTACATTCTGTCTTACCTCTAATTCTTTCAATTATAACCCTACCGTATACATTTCCTGGTATACTCAGTAAACTTATTCCTCTATAATTTTTACAATCTCTTTTGTCCCCTTTCCCTTTATATAAAGGGACTATACATGCTCTCCGCCAATCCCTAGGTACCTTCCCCTCTTTCATACATTTATTAAACAAAAGTACCAACCACTCCAACACTATATACCCCCCTGCTTTTAACATTTCTGTCATGATCCCATCAGTTCCAGCTGCTTTACCCCCTTTCATTCTATGTAATGCCTCATGTACCTCCACCACACTTACATTCTGCTCTTCTTCCCTCCTAAAAGATGGTATACCTCCCTGGCCAGTGCATGAA